GGGGCAGGAGGGTCTGGGCGACCAGATCGGGCCAGGAGACGTCACGTCAACTAGGTCGACATCAACACTGGCTTCCAAGTTTAAGGCCAGCCCAGTCAGGAGGGTTCGGAGAGTCCTCAAGGGGGGCTCAGGAAGCAGGCGAAAGGGGGGGGAGGAGTGAAGGAGGAACACAAGAACTAAGTAATTAGGTGGGCAGATAAATAATTAACTTATTTATGTATGACTGAACCCTGCCCAAGAGGTGAAAGCACTTCCGTGAAACGCAATCCAACCCAGACACACTAGGAAAAGGAAAACTCTGTTGTGTTGCCCATGAGGAGATCAGCGCTGGATCACTCAATGGTTTAGATTTCTGGCTGTGGAGCCAGAAGTTGGGAGTTTGATTCCCCCCCCAACTGGGCCTCCTGTAAATTCAAGCCAGCCTGGGTGGCCTTGGGCCAGCTGCACTATCCCAGAGCACCCCACCCAACAGAAGAAGGGAATCATTAAACCCCATTCCTGAGTATTTCTCTACCTAGAAAACCCTGGAAAGGGTTGCTGTAAATCAGAATCGACTTGACGACACAAAAGAGGTACACAAGCCATTACAAATGAGAGCCGCTTTTAAGTTCAACAGAACTTTTCCACAGGCCAGATGTGCCAAAATCGAGAAGGCTGGTGAAGAAGCTTAAGGTCCAGACTTGACACAGAAAGGAACGGCCTTTGTCTCTCCAGGCAGACAGACCCACAGCCCAAGGAGTCAACGGAAGAAAGAGGTGTTAAGGGGTCCGCATGAAATATCAAGGGTCTTAGCCATGCCATTCAACAAACAGAGAGATATAAGAAGACGCAGTAACAGCAGAACAAGGTGCTGCTCCTAAAGCTTGCAAAAATAAGCGTGTTTTCAGCTGGTGCCGAAGTGGCAACAGTGAGATGGCAGCAGCCAGCAGCTCCAATGTCACGGCGACAGGGAATCCGCTCCGGGCTTTTACCTGAACTTTTAAAGGCTGTGGCCTAGAGGCCGGACTTATTGGGGGGTGGGAGGTGTTTAGGATCCAGCACTCTGGACAGCTCCCATAAAATCCAGGGTAAAATCTGGAGCGTAGCGGCTGTGCCATAGAATTGGAGAGAACGGAATGGGGTCGCTGAGAAAAGGGCCCGGTTGCTTCGCTGGAACAGAGGAAACACTTTTCGGGTCCTGGTGGGCTCTGAGCGGGGGAATAAAAGCCAACCGTTTTAGAGAAAACACCCCAATCCTGATTTCAAACAACCACTTGCACTGTATCCTAGAAATAAGGGTTGACCAGCACTCAAGCCCAACAGAAGCTAGTTTTCCTAAAGAAATAATTTAATTTTTTTAAAAAAAGGGGGGGAAATAAAGGTTTTAAAAAATTTTAAAAAATGGAGAACAGGTGTGTGGCCACAAGCCCTTCCTGCTTAGGAGACTGACTGAAGACATTCCGCCGCATAATCCCATGCGCAGCTACTCGGAGGTAAGTCCCACTCAACGAGACTGAGGTGTGCAGGATGGGAAGGCACAGGACTGCACCCTTAATCCTGAGGACCCCAGCTCAACACAAAATTCCACGCTGTTTCACACACAGACACCCCCGCGCACCCATCCCATTCATTCCCCCCCCCGTGCACGCCACCTTCCTTTCCCCCACACAAAGTAACAAGCGGTACCATTTATTAGCTGGTCTCCCCCCACCTTGTTCCAGTTAGGGAAGCCTTCGGAGGGCAGGAAAGCTGATCTCATCCCCGGCATCCCTCGGTCGGTCGAAAGGGGTCTACGGACGAGGAGAGGACCCCTCCTTCTGGCTCACACCAAGGTCTAACCAAACCCCCCCCCTCAAAGCAGCATTTCCAAGCAGGAAATGCCAAAGCTGTGACTCATCTGGAGAATTCCCTTTGTGTCTCACCCGGGCGCTAGGACAGGCTGGAATCCAAGCGCTCACTTCCTGATGCTCAAATTTCTGATCTCCCACAGCAGGGCGAAAAGCGTGGAACAACCCGAGGCTGCCTTCCTAGCCCCTGACGACTTAACATCATCCACACCAAACTCTGCCCATGTAGGGTCGGTACATCAACCCAGTTTGGGGGCATTTGAGTCTCGCTCCACGACATTCGCTGCCACGATGCGAATTCTCGGATGGGCAGCTGGGTGAACGACTTCAAATGAGTCTCTTCCCAGACTACAAGCCCCATGTTTCTGTAGAATGCAGCCAAGGCACCGGACGTGGGATCATGCAATTATAAGGGTGTGGTGTAGATCCAGTCTCAAAAATGAAGGTGGCTTAAAGCTTTCTCACCTCTACGGGCCACATGCTCGTGGGTACCCCCCTAATATGTCCTCAATGGTGAAAGCAAGGTTTTGCTCTGGGACTGAGGGAAATGTTCATCAAAAGACGAGCCTGTTTTAAGGAAAACTGCCCTCGATTCTTTTGTGAGAACGAGGCCACAGATCCCAGAGCAAACAGCTTCGTTTGCAAACACTGCCCGACGCTGAACGTGGCTTCTTGCTCTGTATCCGCTCATACATCCTGTCCTGTGTTTCCTCCCAGGGGATGCCCGGGTGTATTTGCTCCATCGAGGGTATTTTGTTTATGACTTACGGCCAGGGCAGAAGGAGAGGCTTCAGGAAAAAGAAGTTAAAAAGGTATTTCCAGCCAGCCTTCAAAACCAGGTCTTAAAAGGCATGGTGCATACATCTCTCTCTCTCTCTCTCACACACACACACACACCGATTCCTAGCCACCACCACCCCAAAAAACTTTAGCAGCTTGACCCATGGGCAAGAGTACATGGCAAACACTTAACTCAGCTACCCTGAAGCCTTTAAGGTCATAGAAGCAACAGCGACAGAAGTTGTGTCCGATAACTCAATTTCTCGACAATAAAAGGCTGAATTTCCCAAAGGTAGCCGTGCCCACCTCTTTCAAAAGGCATAACAACAGAAACGGAAACAGAAGCCTTGATTTCAGTGTGAGCTTTCGTGGATTCCAACTCAGTTCCTGAGAAACCGGGAATTTTGTCTGAAGAAATGAGTTGCATTGCACAGAAGCTAGTCTGTTGCCCCGCACGGAAACTGCTCGCCCTGAAACAAATCAATCTATTAAAGGTGCCCCAAAACTTTGCCTTCTTGTTTGGTTTCAATAAAGGTTTCGAAAAAGTATTCACCAGTATACAATTTATGCAAAAGATATATACCCAGTGACTACTCTGTATGTACTTTGTACGACAATAAACCCACTTGGACTAACAGAAAAGTCTAAAGAAAAAAAAAAGGAACTTCCCCGTGTCTTCTAACTCCATTCTTCAATTTTACTGGTCTAACACAGGTATCATCCCCGTTTGTTTTTTCTGTTTAGACTTTTAAAAGCTCGTAGGCAAGACAGATGTTCAGCTGACCTTCTTGGCACATGGATAAGATCACTAGACTTGGTGACTTCCGGCATATTTCTACCGGAACATTCTTTTGATTGCCTGGACATGCCCTTCGCTTTCCGTCTCATACCTGCCTGTGGCAGAGATACAGAAAAGGTGACTCCGGGTTCTTGTTTGGAAACACACACACACACACACACACACACACACACACACACACACACACGCACACTCTTCTCTCCTCCCCTCTTGACCACCAAACTGACCGGAATGTGTTTTTTTTGGCAAATGTTTGAAAGAGTTCTGGCCTGAATTACATTTTTTTCTCACACCATCCCCCCTTCTCTAAATTTAGATCCTCTAAATTTGATCCAGCTGGATGGAGCGCTTAGTGGTTTAGGTCCCTGGCTGTGAAACTAAGGGTTGGGAGTTCGATTCCCCCACTCCTGTGCCTCCTGGGAGAACAGCCAGCCTAGGTGGCCTTGGGCAAGCTGCACACAGCCCCAGGTTTGCCCCAGAAGAAGGAAATGGGGGAAAAAACCACTTCTGAGTCTTCTCTACCTGGAAAACCCTGAAAGGGGTCATTATAAGTCAGAATTCAGTTGATGGCACACAATTATTACTACCCCTTAAATCTGATCCTGGCTTTCAGGACTCTGAAATATTTTCCCAGCCTGCCCAAACTGCACCAGAAGAGGCCTCCTCGTGGAACTGAAAACCCCCGTAGGAAATCTTGAGTGCAACAGAATCTGTACCCCACCCAAGGGAAAGGAGCAGAAGACAAATCTCAGATCAGCATCTCAGATGGGACAGATCTGTCGCCTGGGGGGGTCGTGGGGGGGCTAGAGGGAGCAGATGGCGTGAGCGAGGGCAAAGAAAGGCTGCTAGAGTTAGCAACAATGGCTGGGGTGGTGGTGAGGATCTGGCCAAGCTCCCATTCCATCAAGACCAGCTTCCTTGCAAACACCCAGAGTCCTCAAAGCTAACTCTGGCAAACCTGTGGCTGATCTCACACCACCGTCTTCCTACTGCTAGCCTCATGGCAGAGACTGTATGGATGATGGACAGACAGACTAGGGATGTGGAAGATGGAGGAAAAACAACAGAAAAATTCAACGGCAGCGGGGGGGGGGATTCCTTCCAATTTTTCTCCATGCCAATATTTCAATTTTTATTTTTTAGAGAAAGAACTGAAAGTTTTGGGAAATCTGGAGCGGGGGGAGGACATATCGCAGATAAAATCTATTCTCTTTTGGAACAAATAACATGCCTGTTTAACTAGATATGCCTGGGATTCAACCCGCAGTCTTTTCCGCACCCAACAG